TAGAAATAATTTAAGTAATGCCATCTAAATCACATCTGCGCGAAAAATCAGCAATTCTGATTTCAGTTTATCCAAATTTTGAAAACTAGAACAGTAACAATCAAAACTGAGCACATTATAAAATTTCATCGGTTATAACCGATGTTCGGTTATTTCGGTTTCGGTTTAACCTAAACATCGGTTAACCGAACCGATGCACTCCTAGTACAGATTAATCAGAATAATTTCGAACTTGACATGCTATCACATCTTGTAGAACAAACAATTTTTTACAAACTGATATACTTGTTCAATTTTCGCTAGCTTGTCTTCACTCTTTTAGGCACATTTTTCATATTGCCCCCAAATCGATCTTGCGGGCTGTTTGTACAACAGCTGTATTTTCATATAACGAATCAACATGCAGAGCTGAGACACTTTTCATTTATAAACAAATGTTTAATCTACTTAGTTATCTAGTTGCAATTTTAGATTAGTTTGTAGCTTTATTGCAATAATTGTTTGAAAAGGAGCGAAAAAACAGAACCGTTAGCTGTACAAGACGAGTGTTGAGTACGCGTTATTCGATGTTCGTGTTCGTCGACAACTTATCAAACAGAAAAATGACTAATGTTGAAACGGATACACCTGCTGTACAATTATGTACTAGTGATTATTTATTTGATATAGCATCGAAATTATTAATTGACAATGGAATAATGATAATGATCATCGAGGGTTTGCGATTTATTTTACAATGAATGGATTGATTTATTCTGCGACTGATACGAAGATGCAGTTTTCGAATATGGATTAACCGGTAATGACTTCGACAAACTATCCATATATTCAAGGCTTTTAAGCGAAGTCAGTTTCCGCCAAAATCTGAACTAGAAACGGTATAGTAGCGGTATATTATAACGACAGGACCCTATCAGTTACAGTCGTGCAATAAATTAACAGTTCATTAGAGTCTATTAAGGGTGAAACAATTATACATTACCGTAGAAATTGCTGCCTGGGGTATTTTTATCCATTGGAGAGAAAATGTTACACGACCTATAGCAACTCAATTATAATATTGTTCACATATGGATTTTCCTAGACATTATATGTGTAAACATTTAGTTAGATTAAAAATTATTCCATTGACTGTAAGTCCATGGTCCTACGAAAAACATTTGGTCATACGAAAAAGTGAAAGTATTTGTGTGTGTGTGTCTATATTGAAGCTGGTGTGTATGTATACACGTGCTGTTCAACGGATACGTATCCCTAATCCTGGAGAATCAGGTGAAACCTATCATAAGAACAGTTTCGCATTCTATAAGAAAAAAGTATAAGTATGATGGCAGAAACGGTTTCAATCCGGAGACTATCTATTAGTTAAGCTTTAAACTTAAAAAATTCTTTTAAAAAAGTTAAAAATTAAACCGTAAAAATACCCAGTTCTAATCTTTAACGTTAAGATTATAATTGAGTTTACTGATCCACATAGATTCTCTTGCCGTACGATGGTCGTCGTTTAAGTATCCTCCCTCAGATGGGACAATGAAAACGTCTCTAATTGAGTGTCCGTTCTCACTAAAGTGTTTACGGATTGAGGTAGTACGAATGATACATATTTTTGATGTGTGGCGACAGAATCTTTCTTTCACCGGAATGCTAGTTTGTCTATTTCTATTTCAAATTCACGTTAATTGGATTAAGCGAACGAAGGAAACTCTCAAATACTTTCCTATTTCCGTATCATACGATGAAAACGTCATCGAGATATCGGGAAAACCGATATGGAAGATAATCACATTTATCGAAGAATTTCAATTCATTTAGTACAACAAAAAGGTTTACGTAAGGTGGGGTGCACGGCGTTTCCATTGCTGTGCCAAATTTTTGCTAGTAAAATTTTCCTGCAAAGTGAAAAACATTATTTCCCAATACTGGCTTGAGGAGCTGGAGCAGACCCTGACGAGTGAGGGGTATATCAGCAGCATTTTTATTTTCGAATACGAAGTTCGTGACTTTAGCCGCTCCTTCATCAATGGGGATGTTAGTGTAAAGTGACTCAATGTCTGTAGTCGCAAAATAGAAGTTTTTTAGATCGAGTTTACTCCCCCGAATTTCCGCATTCAAATTCTCAATTTCGATTAGAAACTGTTGAGTGCTGTTTGAAACTCGATAAAAATCACGTGAGTATTTTTGATCAATAAATGAAGGTAAACCGTCTGTCTACAAAAGGTTGTAAAATTTGACATAAGAATCGTGATGCTTTTTCCGTAAAATGACCAATACCCGATACAATCGGCCTACCAGGATAATCCTTTTTGTGTATTTTTGGAGAATATAAAATTTGGTAGCTTTGGTAAACCACGATGGCGAACTTTAGACGAGAATTTAATAGGAATAGGTCCTTGGGAGATGAACTCATTTAATTTATCTTTCACATTTTTATGTGTTGTCCATAACGGGTTCTTGGATAGACATATGTAATTACGTGTATCACGTAAAAGTGTGTTCGCTTTTTCTTCATAAACCTCTTTACTCATCACTACTATAGCGTGTTCCTTATCCGCTTGCTTAACTACAATGTCTTTGCATTTCGCTAAGCCGTTCATTGCTTTATATTCCTCCTTACGCATATTCGGGTAAAATGGACGAGTTGTCTGTACTATGGCATCACGTATTAACTTACTATTCAATGGCAGGTGTATATATCTGTTGGAGATGTCTTTAATTACTTTAGCCCATATTGTAAAACTTTCAGTTCATGCGTATCTAAATACACACGGCCTATACTAAAGGCAAATTCCGACAACGTGCATGGTTCACTGTGTGCTAAAGAAGAAAGTCAATTGGAACCCGTACTACTCCCGATCGGAGCAGTATCAGTGTCCCAGGTGACAGTTCTCTTAGTTACGAATGAATTCCTCCTTGCATAATTAGCAGAGGTAGTATAATTATACTCCGATGGATTGACGTTAGACCTTTCATTACAATTATTTCGCCAAACGTTACGACAAATAAATGGACGTGAATAGAAACCTGTTTTAGAACGATTACTTTGGGTTTTCATATTTCTCATTCTTTGAGGTAATTGTTTATGTTCTGGCTCTGTACCTAATAGTAGTGTCACAGAGCTAGGTGTTTCAGCTATTTTCTTTAGTTGATCATACATAGCTTGATCCCTAGCGGTCGATACACTATCGTGTTCATTATTCATTCGGGGAGAATTAGTTTTCTTCGGGCAAAATTCTTCAGATTGTTTTCCACCCTTACAGAATTAACAACGAGCATGATAGAATCGTTTAATGTGACCGGGATTCCCGCATCCATAGCAAGTCATTTCTCGCTCTTCTAGAAGAAAAACTTTATTCCAGGAGTTCTCTATCACCTCCTTTAGTTTCAAGCTTTCCTCTCGTTCTATCTGTAGTAATTTGTCCTCTTTATTCATTTTGAGTAATTTCTCCCTAATGTCTAAGATTTTTGATTCAGATGATTCTACTGTTTCTATAATAGACTTCGCCTCACAACGTAAAAGTTCTCGTTTAGTTTCCAAAATAATATTGTTCCACCGCTCTTTCAATTTTGGATCATTTGTTCCAAATGTCTGACAGGGGATGTCAAACTGTAGCGATTTAGGAAAAATATTATTTTCAACGTCGTAACCGTTTAGAGCTAAATGGTTACGAAAGCGGTAAAAACGATTGTACTCCGTTCGGTATTTCCCGAGTAAGTCTTCCTTCATTTGCACCGCGGTTAAACTAGTTTGACTAATCATTGAACGACATACACCCTTGCGTCATTCTATGTACGTCCGTACATACATATAGTCATGTGGCAGTCTGATGGACGTACATACGTATAGTGACCACTGAGTGTGACAGACGTACATACATATAGTCATGTGGCAGTGTGACGGACGTACATACATATGGTGACCAGTGAGTGTGACGGACGTACATACATATAGCCATGTGGCAGTGTGACTGACGTACATACACAGAACCACTAATGAGTGTCACGGACCAAGATCCAAATGAGTAGATGCATTTGGGTTTCCTGTGGAATCAGAGACGTGTAACACCTTTCCGGGCTGTGAGTGCGGACAGAAGGGGCGCATGAGCATTGTCTGGAACTTCGAAATATTGTTAGACCTCTGGGGTTCTTTGGGTGTCAGGTAAAACCAAATCAAAGTACAGACACATTATATGAATTACACGAATCGAGTAAATAAGCTATGACGCTTTCAAACTTTTGAGAGTCACATAACTCGTGAACTGATGCTGACTTGATAGACTTGACTTCTATTCCATACTTGGGTTTGAAACACGTACTCACTCTGGTAAACTTTTCTGACCGGTGAAAAGCTAAAGCTTATATAAACTAAGGTGGAAAATATGGACATTCTCATCGCAAAAAATATGGATCAATTCTGTAATAACAAGATCGAGTTACAACAGAATTATTAATAATACCGACAGTGCATTCATTCGACTTACAGGCAATGGACTTAGTGAATCGATGCGATTCCCGTTATTTAATTTTAATAAACATTGGTTACCAAAAGACATACATCAGTTAGTGAAAAATCAAGAAGTTGTAAGAACCGAAGTTTAGCTTTGTCGTTTTGATCTACAACTGAATACAGAGTACACTCCTGTCAATGTAGGTGCAATAGAGCAGAAAAATGATAAATATGGCTTAATTAAATAGCTAATTAATTAATTGTAATACCTCCAGATTTTTATTTCATAATCGAAACGATGATCTTTTCGGCTTCTTAATTTCGCCTTTCAGCTATTCACATCTTTTTTCATATTTCGTCTAGTTATGCTTGAGAAGAAAAATCAAAATCAAAAGCGTATGACACTCTTCTCACATACTATATGTTGGTAACTAAAAGTCCGACCCGGACTAAACTTTCAGAGAATGTTGATCATGTCAAAGTATGGTGAGGAAATTATTTTTTGCTTCGGACTATCGCCGTCTGCAAGATGTCTCTACAACAAGAGTCAAAACGAAGTCGGGCATACTTCCTAAAAGGTTTTTCTTAGGTCAATAACAGAGATCTTTCGCTAGTGCGAAAACAAAGCGAACAGCATCAGAGATCAATGTTTGAGCGTTTGTTTTGTAGGCACTCTTGTACGGTGTACTAGCTTCGTTTTCAAACCATCTTGGACTTTTCAGCATCTTCCTGAACACAGAACTTTCACATAACAATAGTGCAATATAAATATAATATAATATGCAAGCCATGCATTTCATCACAATAGTTGTGAATAAAAAGACGTTTTTGACGAAAATTGATCACTTTAAAGCTTTTACGAAATGTTTGCAACTTTACTTAAGACTTTCGCATATTCTTTCCATCAAGCAGATCATGATTTGTTTTGCATCAGCTATGCTTCATATCATGCATCAAGCATCACATACATACTATTCAGCAGAAAAGCGCCACTTGTGCTGTAATCGTACATCCGTTCTTGAACACGAAATAATCTGATCTCTTTTTCTCACTGGAACAACTCAAAAAGAAAACAACAGAAAAATGACATTCACATACAACTTATATCTAATTTTATTTTATTTTCGTTTGATTCTTTTGTTGATAAAACCACACTCGTTTGACGTGGTGGTACAATAAACAGCGGTGGTGCACTTCCGATGGAATGAGATAACGATGAAGATTTTCTATTCGCACAAGCTGATTTCACAGACATTTGTTTTTGACGCCTTTTACTTTTTTTATGTGAGGAACGTCGTTTTAGTGCTCCTACTTTATGTACAATGTAATATCTGAGATAATCAGTGCTAAGTTTCTTCGAGTTTTGGTAGCCTTGTGATCTGTCGTCATTATCACTTTCGATATCACTTGATGAATAATTTTCTTCTCTGATTGTTTCGTGCTCTTTTTTCATGACAATTGATGATGAACATTCACCGAGATTTCGTGGTTGCTGTTGGCATGTATTCATTAGAGTATAATCAACGTGATTCAAACGGGTGACGATTGATACACGTTCAAAGTTGCTGCTATTATTGCTGTTTTTATTGCGATTCCGATAATAGTGATGAGAAAGTGTGTTCGTCAATTGACCATCATTTTTGACACAGCAATAAGTACTGTGACCACAAGTAAATATTGTTTTGACTAGACACCAAAATTTTCGTCGAAATAGTTTTCCTGACAAGGAATACAAGAGACAATTGGTCGATGAATTAAAGACATCAATGAATAGAAACACAATCAGTACTCGAGTGATTTGTTTGCAATTTTCGATATCTGTGACATACAACATATGACAATAGTACATTGTTAAAGCAATGGGCAATCCCCAACTGATGGCAATGGTAGAGAAACTTTCAGTGAGAATAACGGTGAAGGCACGAATGTCACTATGACGTGGACGACGATTTGTGAGTGTCGTAGATTCAGTCAAATACTTTAAGCTGTTTGAGAAGAAAATAACTTTAATTGATAATAAATTGGCGATACAAACGATGAATGAGGGAAGGGCATTACCCAAAAAAATAGCGATGGTATGTCGATTGAAGCCAAATTTGTAGGAGTTGAAGAAGTTATAATAGGTCAAGTAGAACTGATTGCGTAACGGTAAAAAACATGTGGGTACCTGAAAGATCGTTGTCAAATACTCGGACGTAGGTGTACTTTGAATGACGTTTAATAGTGGTGAATTTGAGGTGGTTGTAAAATTATAGAGCTTTAAATACGAGTATCCACATTGTTGATGTAACGAGAAATAGTCGATGTTGGAATGTTTACATTGCTCATAAATTGGTTCGAGTAATGCAGTGAAATTGACAGTTACATTCACGAATGCTGAACTCATCAATGTTTGAAACTTGTCCGATATTTGAGAAATTGAACAATTCTAGACAAAGAGAAGAAATCCAGAATTCTTTAGAACAGTTGAAATCCGTAGAATCAGAGTAATTACAGGAAATCAGAAAAACCATCACCAGTCAACGTGACAGGCATGCAGCGATGAACTTAGTGTAAAGGGAAAAATTATTTCTTTAGTTTTAGTAGTTAAGGTGTTTGGAAAACAGTAATTAAAAGAAAAATGTGAGTATCTTACTCGTCACATTATGTGTGCTCCCATTTCTTTTTTTTTATGACAATAAACGGAGAGGACAAGGAGTACCGGTGAACGAAATGGCTCTTTACCTTTTTGAATTTCTCAAACGTTCCTGAGTGTAAAATGTGATCCTGAATGTCTCTGTCGGCTTGCTTTTAAACATATGCGATTTCATAGTTTTAGTGCCCAAGGTTTCTTCAGGTCATTTAAAACGTTTTTTATCAAGCAAGCCATGCAGAAGGTGTGTGTCATAGGTTTCAAAACGCATCTATGACTGGGTATTTGCTTACTGATGATTTTTTGCTTGTACTAACGAAACATTCCACACGGGTTGCTCAAACTTGGTAAGTATTTTCGTAAGATGGCTTTTGGTAATTACTAATTCAAGTACTCAGAAATGCTTAACAGATATCTGATTTACTTGCTGAACCAAAAAATCACACCACGTTGGACAAACGTGGGAGAGTAAATCAAGTAAAAGTCTTTTCTAAAAACGTTTTCTTGTTCGGTTCGTTGTGCTGTCGATCCATGTATAACGGTACAAACAAAATTTTTTGACTGAAAGTTCGAATTCCGACACCCTTATTCATATGTACGTGCCCTTACTACTCTCTAAAAAAAGGCTCCATACTAAACCATTAAGGTTTGATGTATTGCTTCGAAACTTTTAATGGTTTTGTAGCGAAATTTCGAAATTCAGAGGGTTTGTTAGATGGTACGAAACCTCAAAACAAAATTTTTTTCTACAAGGTTTTGTACAGAGTATACGAAACCGGCGAAGTGGTTTAGTAGCATTAAAGGTTTAGTAGAAATTTCACAAAACCTTACGAGTTTCGTATCGTATTAAACACTTCTTCGATGAAAGAAGAATATGTTGAAAAACCCATAGACAACTAGTAACAGATATTTATTAGTCTTAAGATAGTTATCCGAAAGACGTTGTCTATTTGAAACACGCGATTTATGTGAATACCATTAGATGGAGCCATTTTTTCTCGGCTGTGATTGGCCTAATACAGAAACCAATAAATGATAGAATGTGAAAGATGACTATTTTATTTCTTTGCTTTTTGCATGAACTATAGCCTACTTCATCGGGGAAAGTTAAATCTACTGTCTTGCCATACCATTCCTTCCTCGGTTAGTTAAACCAAGTTTATTCGTAGTAAAATTGATTTATAAGTTTGTTCAAGTGTCTTTGCAGTTTTAGAGTTACGGTTTTAACACTCTGCTAAATGCTCGATTCCTAAAACTAAATGAGTTTTCTTTTCAGAAACAGCCGTTTTGTCTCATAACTAAGATCAGACTTCTTCAGTATAAAGTTGAGTTCAGTAATCCCAATGTAGTAACGTTTCCTAGTGCCTAATATTGAAAACTGTGGGATTTCTTTTCTGTACAGAATGAATAGTACAAAGGTTCATCGTAACGAAGCATTTTTACAAAATTTCCTAGTTATTAGTCTGTTGCAAAACTCAGCTGAAATGTCCCAAACTAGTTTGTTTACACCACCGGAATAAATAATACTCTTCCTCATGTCCTTCCCAATCACGAACTAACTGAACTAACTTGGCCGGTAGGTTAACTGTAGAGACGAAATGAATGACTAACTTCACAGTATTCCATTCTCTTTCTGTAACATCAAACAAAATGATTTCCTTTTCTGTGATGTTATTCATATATACTAGTGTTTCATTTGGACGAAAGGAGAATGAATAACGAATAATCTTACGAATAATAACAACCTTCATTCATGTCATATATCTGTTTTTTTTCGGTCTCTCTATGCGTTAATCCTTTCAAAAAAGTCGTGAGTGTGAAAAGGACAAAAGATGCCACAAACTGAAGTATCGAGTATAGTGTTACTCTTTCTTATTACCTTTTTTCTGCGAAAATCACGACTAATCTTTTCACATATTCCGTGAAATGTGTCAATACATTTTTAAAGGATACGAAATAAAACTTTCGTTTTCATTTTTTGATGAATGTGAAAGTAGTGTAAGAAAGCAATAGTAATACTCATTTTGTCTCGTCCGTAACCAAACGTTACGCATGTATAGAAAGAAAAGACGTCTACATCTAACGATTCTCGTTAGACACATATTCTTTTTTCCTATTTTTTAACCTAGGTTAGAGTACCCGGTTAACCGTACGAACCGGACACTCCAATCGTCCGGTTTATCTGTAGATTAACTAACCTACTTGGCAACCTCCCTGTATCTAATGTATTTCATGTCTGGAGCTAGCTGTACCGGTCGGTTAATTGCCCGGTTGGAGCTAGATCGGACAGAGCTAGTTCGATCGATCGGTTAAGTGGGCAGTTAACCTAGTTGATAACCTCTCTGTGTTTAATCTATTTGATACCAGAAACTAGCTTAACCGGTCGGTTAAGTGGGTGGTTGGAGCTAGGTTAGATAGAGCTAGCTCGATCGGTCGGTTAACCTAGCTTATAACCTCCCCAACCGCCCAAAAGTAGGTTGAACCGCCCGATCCTCGCATTTTTTCTCGTATTTGCTGAAAGATCGACCTTTAAGTATACTTAAAGGTCGATCTTTCAGCAAATACGAGAAAAAATATAGACTAAATTGGGGCAATTGGAAACGATTTTTGGCTCTTTGGACTTCTAATTAGTATAAATTTGTTAATTTTAATTATCTTTTTGCGCTCTTTTTACAGGTAGGTAGAGGAGGAAGTTCTCTATAGGCCTATCTAAAAATTTTCAAAAAACTCCGTGTCCCAAGCGAACTTCCCGGTGTTTTGCTGAAAGCTCTAACGAACATTTCCAATTATCCCAAGTGGGGTAATTGGAAACAACAATAGAAATTGATGAGATAATTGGATACGCCATGTATTTTACACGGGAAATAATTCTTTAGTAAAAAACAGTTTTCTCGTTAAGCCAATGATACTAATTAATAATTTTTGCACAGTTAAATAGATCAATTATTGCTGTACAAATGGTGAGAATCTCCAAGCTCTACTCATTAATTAGCCTGAGCTCTAATTAAAAAGGTAAACGCTGAGAAATTTTCAAATGTTTCCGATTACCCCATTTGGGGTAATTGAAAACGTACGTGAAAGTTAGTGGGATAAATGGAAACGATCATGTAAAATAGCTGGAAAGCTAGGAGTTTCTTGGAAATCAGTTTCTACTCGGGAAATACCTCTTTCAAAAAAGTTTGCGCTTATAAAAAGATGCAGAAGATTCTTCTCTACAATCCCAGAGAAACTCTCACTCGTTTTCATTCAGAACTACCGAAATAAGCATGTGACACGCAAAAGTTGGTAGGCTATCTGAAGAATCACTGAACGAAACTTTATGAAACTTGGCGCTTAAGGGTTTCTCAACGTTCTCTTTCTTTTCTTCTCTAGAAAGTTTTCTTTAAAACCCTCAGAAGTATGGTTTTCTAGAAAACCGTGGTTTTGGGACTACTTGTACTTCTGAAAACGGTTTTTAAAAATCAGTCTCAAGACACGAAACATTTTTAACTATATATTTGAATTCAGCGTCGAAAGGCGAACATTTTGAGAAAAAAATCAAGTCTTCAACTCAAAATTTCAGTTTTTGAGTTTAGTTTGACATTTAAAAAATTCAACCCTTTTTAAAATTGAAATAGCTCAGTTTAGGTAAGCGATGGAATCTTGGTTCAAACGCGGTTGGATAGAGAATTAAAATCTGAACAAACGTAGCGGTTATCTGCATCTTTTTTATGTCTGCATGATGCTGTATCTTTATGTCTGTCTCTTTATGTTGTATCTTTATGTCTGCATGATGTTGTATCTTTTTGTCTGCATCTTTTTCTATGTGTCATCAGTAGAACAACTCGTGTAGATGATCGTTTCAAAATGATGACTCATTCTCAAGTTAAAAAAGTCTT